GGAGTCCGCACACTGTCCGAACCGCCGACCCGATTGCATCCCAGGCTGGCACCAGGGAACCTATGGCGTAGTACCAAAGGCCGACGATGATGCGGCTTTGGGCAAGCTGCAAGGTCAGGGCGTGTCGACTGTGTTCAACGGCATACCGAGCCGTGCGTGAATACCTCTTGAGCGCCGTCACCTTGTCGGGCCGATCGGAAAATACTGCCCCGAGCGTCATCATCGAGTACAGCAGCATAGTATCTTCTGAGGTCTTGGTATTGCACGACCGCAGCCATAAGAGAAACCGTTTGCGCGGGAACATGTAGTATAGGCGGTCGTTCACATGGGTGAAGTAGCTCTCCACATAATGAACTGCGGCCTCTGGGTCTGCCTCAAACGGGTCTGTATGCCAGTCGGATACAAGAGGGTCTTGAGGGTCCAGATCCTTCATCTCCATGAGGATGTCGGAGTAGTCATGAGAACCAAGCGAAACGTCATCGGCTAGACGTCTAGCAGTGTCCTCCGCTCCAATGGATAGCCGACCATGACCCGGCATTCTGAGCCTGTACTGCTCATGGTCCATTACACTATCTTGGGGGCCTTCCATGGCGGAGGGTGTCAACATCGATACTTCGGATCTCGGCGATTGAGAACTAGTGTTTGGGAGGGAGGCCGAACTCTCTGAAGCCCGGATCGCAGAGTACGGGGACTGGGATGCTGCGCCATAAGCATAGCTGCCAGGGGGGAGGCTCTCTCGTGGTTCGTATCGACTCGCAAGTTGTGTCGCTTTTAGGGCCGCACGATGGCCGCGGGGACTAGTGTCAAAATCAAGAGAGGTTAGTCGCTTTAACAAGGGTCATTAAGGCACCATTGCCAAAGACTTACGCGCTCTCGAATCTGCATTCCCTCCCAGACTTCTGACATTGGTCGCATTTAGGAAGATTCGGTTGGCATTTGATTTTCTTTTCTCTGCAGGTTAAGCAGGCCTGCGCGAGTCGCTTCCTCGGTTTGCCGGCTTTGGTGATCCCCCAATTTGCATTGACCGGAACTCCGTCGATAATCTTGGGACAATGCGAACCGTCTGCGTATATGTAGCAGAGACCTTCGCCCTCCACATATCTCTCATCCACCACATGAGAACGCACATTGGATGTGTGAGAGGGGTTGTTTGTTGCTGCAGAATCGGGAGTCTCACTGGGAGAAAAGTCTCTGGTATACTCCTTCTCCGGAGAGTTGAAACCGTAGTACGGATACGATGCAGCTTGACTGGATTGTACAGGAGATCCAGTATGAATAGGATGTAGCGGACCTTCACGTGCTAGGCCGGGTGTGGAGAGATGGGCCAGGGGAGGGAGACTCCTAGTATGTGAATGCGGGAGACTCTCGGGATAAGCCCGAGGGCTTTCGTGTAGACTAGGTCGTGGTATAGAATCGCTCTGTCGAAACGGCGTTGGTGATGCTGTGCTGCCATTTGGGGGTGTATAGATGCCAAATCTGTGAGGTTGGTAGGGAGATGATGGACGGCTCGGATGGGCTGTGGGGGTCAACAATTGGCTAACTGGCGGAAGCTGTTCGTTGGCCGTCTGCTGGCCTGGAATCTTTGAGCGACCCAGGGATGTTTCTTCCAGCTCGCGACCTTCAGCTTGGTTACGTTGATGTAGAAACGGAGCTGTCCCAAAAGGCAAGGGAGCAGAAGTGCGAGGGGGTGGGAGTTGGTACGGGTGGGGTGCCGGCACTGAAGGATCAGTTGGACGATCAGACTGTCGCTGCGATGTGGAATCTCTAGCAGGCGACATATTTCTGAAGGAGCCCGCTGGGAAAGCAGACATTGTGGGTGACTATGGTGTCCAAAATTATTCGAGGGTGTAGCACGAAATCCCGCCGAACAGCATCAGAATCCGCGACTCGGGTCCTGTGATAACGAGGCAGAGCCCCTACAGAAACGGAGTCTTGGCTTTGACCGGTGAATCCTCGTACTTCAGGAGAGGAGAAGTGTAGAAAGCGAGCCTACCAAGATGGGAAGCGGATTAGCAACCACGTCATCGTACTCGATGTTTCCAAAAAGGCATGCCAACCTACCAAGATGCCTCCAGCCGTTCAGAATCAAGGAGACACTACTGTCAGCAGGCCAGCAAATAATACAATTTTGATGCTAAAAAGAGAAAAATAAAGGTTGGTGTTGTAGCTTGTTTCTGTGTACGCCGTTCGAGAAGCACGATTGCCCCTCCGTAAATAGTAGGTCGATCGCTGCCCGGCCGGGGAGGTGAGAACAGGAAAGGCTGGAGGGCTGAAAGGCTGAAACAGATTACACACTCGAAAATAGCCGTGCAAAGAATGGAGATTCTGCAATGACAGTACTAAGTCCGCATCAAGCGGGCTCACTTGCGAGTTACCCTGCACTTGTTGCGGGTAAATGGGGGAAGAACGAAGGTAGCATCTAAAGGATGATACTCATGGCGCAAATGACCGTAACACGCTTGTAATTCGGGTCGACCTCGCCATTCCAGGACTGTATCGCTTCACAGGTCCAAATGTTTGCCACAAAACGCATAGAACCGTGCAGAAGAAGTAAAGTCTCCGTAATCGGCAACGCTGTTGGGTTCTCGCCAGACCAGATTCGCTGAGAGGGGATAGGTAGGTTTTGTGTGTACCAGACAACAAAAACCGAGATGCGCAGCAGCCTCCGTTTCAGATGGGACAGGGAGAAGAATGGGGGCGGAAGAGTGCAATGGCAGGACTGTGGCAGGGCAGGGTTTTAGAGTCACGACAACACTAACATGAAAACCAGGCTGTTTGTTGCTGAGCTGATAGTGCCCCAGGGGTGCAGGTAGGACCACAATAATAAACAACTAGCTAGCAGCCCCGGAAGACAGCCGCCCAGATTACAGATCTTGGGAGTGTAGTAGTAATATCAACTAAATCACCCTGCAAGAGCCGCTCCGAGGTAATTTGGTGATCAGTGGTCAGTGGTCAAGCTGGCCTGATGTTGGCCGAACGGCTCCTGCCACTAATGAGGAGTAAAAAGGGAAAGAAATAAAAAAAAAATAAAATTGGGCCCTGAGCTAGACAGCCAATTTGCACCAAAGAGAAAAAAAAATAAAAACCTGATAGCGCGGGGCACTGGATAGGATGAGGATGGAGAAATTGTGGTTAAATAGCGCTGTTGCTTAGTCGAGGCCAAGGTGGGAATGCCCCTGTCAGTTTTGGCCGGTGCTAAGGACTGTAGTAGTAAAGTAGAAGTACGTAGTAGTAGGAGTAGGGTAGAGGGGCGGAGACGCCAGGTTCAAAGGAGGGACACGCTGGGATTAATTTAGAGCGGGGAGGATCGGGGATTTTTGAATAGTAATAAGAATCACGGTCCCTGGAAATGAGTGGGAATCAAAGGGGGGAGGGGGGGCAGAAAGCAGAGGGAAAGAACGAGAGTATGAAGAAAGGGGATCAGGAGGAATAAGAGGGAGGAGTCTGTTGAGTAGGGGAGAGACAAGAAAGAGAGAAGAAGAAGTAGAAGAAGATGATGATGAGCAGAGAGGAGGATACGATAATACAGTCAAGTGTCTGGCCGTCTAGCTGAGGATCCTTTCAAGCTGCCATCCAAGCTCAGCAAGTTGAGCATATTTAATGGCAAGGCAACTTATGACCGACCCAGATCAGGATGATCACACACAGAGAGAACGAAGCCTGGTTCACAATTCCAGCCTGGTTTAGTCCAACGCTTGCCAGTCCACTTTTCGCAACAGTTCCGGTTTAACGGAGGCCCTCCCAACCCACCCAATCAACCCGTACTATCTGGCATCTTAGATAGTCTAGATGCTCTGGATCGTGTTTACTTTATCCCAGAGTAGTATACACCCTATTATCGAACTATTCTTACTGCGGGCCGGAAGTCTCCTCCCTCTGTCCCCTTCGGCATTCGATTCCAGTTGCATCCTCGGTTCAGCTTCGACCAGCTCCACTTCCAATGGAGACGCGAAGCGTCCGTCCATCCATCGGGCAACTATCGATTACATCCATTTTATTCGCATTTCAATAGGTGGTAGTAGTATTTAGATAAATCCTCCATGGCTGTGTGTCGACAGTCGTCATGGCCGGCCCGGGTATATCGAAAGGATACTGCCACCGGGCGCGGTTCATATTAGGTGCCGGTTGAGATCAAATCTACCGAGAGTCCTTCATTAGTTGATTATTTAGATTCATCATTATCATCATCATCATCGCCGCTTCCTAGTCCTCATCTCCAGCGTAATCATGCCATGGAGGAGCAAGGTGGCATTTAGACTTTGGAACGGGTCGGCATTAGATATCGTCAGACTCTCTCCGGCATCCTTTCTCAATCTGGTCTTTGGGAGGGTAGCTGGGGGTGGCAGGTTGTCTCTCCTTATTGAAACTGGCCGGCTTTGAATCTGTTTTAATATGAGCATGATTAGGTTTTCCAACCCGACGCCCCGCAGGAGGATCCTCGTTGGTGTTCGGAACGATCCATTGCCAGCTCCAGCCGTTAGTCATGGGAAGGAGACGCTCATGCGACCACCGACCACGGGACAAGCACAATCTTTTCGGAACGGCATTTGCAATTAACCTTGTTTCGTTTGATCGGGACAATGCGTCTGTTCCTTCTTACTAAGTATCTCTTGCCGTTGTAGTCATCATGGTGTGCAGCAACTTGCGAGGCTCGACACTACTTGGTCGTCCGTTCCCATACCCGGAGATGCAAGAGAAGGCCAGCGCGGAAAGACTGGATTTTGGGCCCTATGAAAGCTGCCAACCCCGACATAGTGCACACTTGGCAGGTCATCGCCCTAATTAGGGGGGCCGGTTAGAGGAGGGAAAGAGAGGAGCTGGTGGGCAATGGTTTATCAATTACCATAGTAAAAAGAAAAAAACAAAAGAGGACAAATAAAATAAATTGAAAATCAAATAAAAATTCAAAACAGAAATTGAGAAAAAAAGATCCGCACATGAAGGAAAGAGCCAGGCTGGCAACAAGAAAAGAAATCCCCCGTCCGAGAGAGCCACTCGATATGCCGACTTGTTTCGGCCGGACTGACCAAACTCGGACGAACAACCTCATCAGTGTGTTCAGGAGAGACCACAACAGACTCTCACAGCCAGCCAGGGTGAGCAAGCACTGCGACTCCCCTCGAGGGCTCAAAATCCACCAGCTTATCGTTTGGCTAGTGGCCAGTACGGAAACCTCCGTAGTCCGTCCTTACGCGAGTGGAGCATTGACTCCAAGCCGGGAAAAAGATGAGAAGCAAAGCCCAGGGGAGGGTGCAAGGAACAGCCTCCCAAGTTCGCAGCAGTCCCTCAGCCCATCGAGGATCGCGAGCCTGTCATTCGTGGGGACTAGCGAACCAAGTGGACTGGGCGTATCCGGAAAACGGACAGATGAGGGTCTGCGAGCCGGAGGGCCACGGTTTTTCATTTTTCTAGACCTGAGTAGTGAGTCTTCTTTCTTTCTTTCTTTTTGGTTTAATTTGATTAAATTTTTTTTTCTTTTGTTTTTCTTTTTCTGTTTCGTGCTAGTCTTGTCGCTGGGGCGGCTAATATCGATGCGTTTGGCTGGATAGGCTGCTTTGATGCTGCTGCTGGCTGGGATTTTGAGTTTGGTGTCTCCTGTAACGGTTTGTGGCCCGCCGGGAACAACGCCCGTTTGGTCCAAGGAGGGATGTCGGATTTGTCTCATCTTGGGCGATCCGATCTGCACCGTCAAGTGTGTAGCAGACAGCTTGAAGGTCCAGCCTCGACTGACTGGATGGAGATTTTCATTCGCGGAAAACCCTATCCCGAAGGTCATGGGGAATGTTGACGAGTCTTTTGTTTCCCGTATCTCAAGAGATGTATTGCAGACTTTCTGTCATCTTCAGCATCAACAACACCCAGCTAGGAACATGGATGGCCTCTTCAAAAGCCAATCCCACCCCTCCAACAGTGGGCCGGAGGCTCTCACCCTACGGTCGTGCTAAGCAAAGTCTAAAGTACTATCATACGATCTCGCCCACCGATCCCACAGTTGGCGCCAACCGGAAATGAAGTAAGAAGGGGGGTTAAACAAATTTAATCAATTGAGGAATCACGGGCAATAATCTAACACCGGGTTGCCTTGAGATTGCCTACTCCAAATATTACCACCCTACTCTTTCATATGCCGAACGCCCAGTGCTGGAAAAACCCGCGGCATCACCCACTGATTGGTGCGATTAGATCAGATCTGTGTTTTCCCGAACATATCCCGAGATTGGGCGGGCTTGCCGGGCGTTCCAGCATTTCGATGCAAGTAAAAACTTGCTAGGACCTTCTCATCCCTCAAGGATGATACTATGGACGAAGTAACTCGCAACAGATGGGATGTGGACGGGAGACTGCCCCTCCCCACGACGCATCTCATATTGGTTCCCTTAAAGAATGACAGCAACCGTGCTCTCGCCCTGACCTCCCGCCTAATAATAATCCATGAGATACTAAGGAGGGAACACGGCCTATGCCTTTCCCGCACCTAGTTCGAGCGGAGTTTAAGTGGACATTGTTGCCCTCCGTCCCCGTCGGAACCACTCCTTCGCCTTGCTAGTAGCGGAATAACGGACGGAGATATAGCCATAAGGCAGAGGGCACGGTATTTTGCCCCGACAGGGTGGTGGTTATCATCGGAGAGCACACAATTACCCAACAGTAGTCTGTTAAGATATACTGTGGTTTAATGGTTTGGTCTGTGGGTTAAATAACCGACTCCAACGTCCCTGCACCCTAGAGTTTTAGTGTCTCACCGGCATCCTTCGGCACCAGGATCTGCCACATCTGTAATGCCAATCTCCGCCGTCACATTCGCCACGGCCATGCCCGTACACCCAACAACGAAGGGGAAAGGGAGAGGAGAGGGGGGGGGCACTAGGGCTCAACAAGGCCCAGTCCATAGGGACGGAGGATGCTCTCTGTTCAGCGACCGGCCGTAATGGTCGGAGTCCATATCCGGAGCCCCCTGGGTCTTCTCCGATAGGATCAACTAGCGCCGGAGGGGGTGAGACACAGTGCTTGTGTCGTCGCATATTGGTGTCTCAAGGACGAATAAATATCGCATCAATTACATTCAGCATTGTGTCCGTCCATCGGTCATCCTTTTTGGCAGGCAAACTATGCAAAGTAAGGTTGCATTATTCAATTCATTATCAACTAATAATAACCCCGAGCCAGACAGATACTAGTCTAACTACATAAGAATTAAAATACTACTTACTCCAACTTCGCAGCGCCATCTCCGGCCGAAGACATATCCACTCCACCCGACAAAACCCGTCCGTCGATCCCACTCCCCCCTCCTCCCTCCCCATCCATCCATCATCATTACCACCCAGTATGCAAAACACCCCGGCAGCGACGCAACCGCTAAGCTAGTAGTAGGCGAGCAGTGCGAGATGCATCACAGGTACGTACACCCGACATATGTTAATGATATTGCCACCCCGACCATCACATCACGGGCTGCAGGCGACGGTTTTAGCCCAAAAGCTTGTTGTAGCCGCGGCGCCAAAGTGGGATGAGGTGGGGGTCGTTGAGGATCAATAGTCCACGGTAGCGTGTCTGGCATCCTGAATCATGAAGGCTCGCTTGCTCAATCACTCCGGAAGTTAAACCGAATCGGTCGATAAGGTGTGAGTTTCAAGTTATGCTGACTGGGAATCTCCACGAACTACGGGCCCTTGAAAGTTGGCCAAAGGTAAAATTTGAGAAATAAAAAGAAGAAGGAAATAAAAAAGGGTCGACCACCTCGGCTATCAGAGGAAGCATGGACCGGGAGAAGCTAAGATACTATCCACGCCATTCATCATCCCTGAGAGATCATGACACAAAGTACGAAGTACACGGTGTACTGTGCTCGGCCGGGAGTGCTAAAGTTAGGTTCTCTTCCGGGGATAGTACTCATTCAGATGATAATTTCTAATAGGGTAAATGAACCACACTCAACTGAGTATATTGAAGCGATTTTTATCCCTGAGGTATGTATCTGTCTACAAGCACTTACTAGAAAGGCAATATAAGCGCGCCGCAGGAATAATAATAACGCCCGATACTACGTTATAATATAAAATAATATAATAAGAGCCATAATAAGAAACCTAAGCCTACACTAATTATCCGGAAGTCCCGCAATACATTTATACCAACTATATACAATCAACCCAGATGAGCATGTGAGAGTCATTCCATCCTTCAAGCTAATATAACCATGATGAAAATACTATGATATAATAACCCCTCGTATCCCCTGAGCTCCCCCCTCTACGAGAACGAAAGAGAAGAATAAGAAGAAGAAAGAGTAAGAGAAACAAAAGTGTGGGCCGAGCCGAACCACTAACATACGTAACAGAGGGGGCTTGGCACGCGCTTTTCAACCCCCCGGTCAAAAAAATGAGTCTGAAAATCGCGGAAAAGCCGAGCGGGATTCAAAATCAGTCAATCAATCAAGAAAGCAAGCAAGCAAGCAAGCTTGTGAAACATACCCTTTACGTGTGACTTGACAGTTACTTGCTTACTCAGATTTAACTCGCAGCTCACACCATAAGTAGACAGATAGATACTACCTAATACTTACTATATACGTAGTGGAAAGTGGAGAGAGAGGAGGGTCACCGCGGGCCCCGAGGAAAAGAAGGAAAGAAAGTTGACTGACTTTTTTCCATTTGCCGTGATCAGGTCAAATGCCGATGAGAGCTTTTTAATTTTTTTTTTTTTCTTTGTTTTGTTTTTGTTCTGTGTTTGATGATCCTTATCGGTTTTTGGTTCTTCATCCGTAGCTAGTATGTACTATGTCATAGAGTCATAACTTTTTCTAATATTTTTTATTTCCTCATTTTCTTATTAAACTATTGCGTGTCAGTTCGATCTGCAGTTTCAGGTACTTACCTACCTACCTACCGTAGTGCCTAAGTGAGTAGTAGTATGTACCGACCGAGAGGTGGGTGGATATGGACAGTGGACAGATATCTAGACCCCGTCATGATGATTGTTCATATTTATATTCATAATTATCAGTACTATCCGTACTTAGGTTATGTCCTTCACTAATGAAATAATGCATAAGTAATGGTAATTAGACAATAATACTACTACTAGATAGTCATTACCACCCAAACGACGCCTTACAATTGATAACACTCCGAATTATAAATTAATAATAATTACAAGTCCTACTAATAATAACCAGGATAGTATGTTAAATAAGTTAGTAGTAATTAGTTAAATACTTAGTACAGCAACTGTAAGTCCATTTCGGATCTAACCGGGCTCATCTATCCATCCATCCATCTATCCAGCCCACCAGAAGAAAACCAAACCAACACTAGGATGGATACAGTACTAGTTAATTGTCGCCCCAGATAACTTCCGACCTCCGACCATAAGCAAAAGCAAAAGGCACAACACCAGCGACGGACCAACGGAGTGGGAAGAAGAAAGGAAGGAAGGAAGATAAATTCCACACCCTAAATCCCTCCCCCTGTCGAACAAAAGCACGAGACTAACCCTTCTGCGCAAATGCACATGAGAGATATGATTTGTTGGGAGGGAGGGTGGTGCAGTAGTAGTAAATGCTAAGGCATACTCCGTACTAGAGTGCGTTAGTAAGTAGTTCGGGTAGTAGTTAGTTGCGACCAGGATGTGATTGAATTGTTAGTTAGTTGATTATGTTATGTTGGGGGTTAATATAGGAGATAGTAACGAATACTCAACTATCTTGAGGAGGATAATTTGGATAAACTATTACCCTATTGCTGGGGTTGAGGGTATCGGATGTTCTACTATATATTTATTGTACGTGAGAATATATCTTAAGTAGTTGTCGTGCATTGTAGTGGTGATACATGGATACTAGTAAACTACGGTATCATAATGCCCATTGTACCTAACTACAATCTGCCATGTCCTACTGTAATCCAGATCCCTACTAATAGGGGTAGTAAGTAGCAACTAACAGTAACTTTATGAGGAATAATACGGGTGGCATGATGCTGCTGCTGCTGCTGCTCCATCGGTTTCAAAATAATATATATTAACTTTGAACTGTCTTGTATTTGACTTTCTACTAATATAGCTTAGTAGTGATTGATGGAATTACCAGGCTGCAGCAAAACATAGCCACCTTAGTTAAGCAGGCACTACTAGTAGTAACTAACCTTTCAAAGGTCCGTGTCCGGTCGTCTAGACAGTAGTTGCAGTCAATAAGTAATGTGGGTATTCATATATCCCGATGCAAGTCCCGAACCCGACAGCTACTATTGACTACTTACGTATTATTTAGTCGCTTGATGTAACTGGGTACCGAGAGGTTTGAAGCGAAGTATATTGTATTGAAGAGGGTTAGTAATTAGTTGGATACTAACTAGTTACTACCGTGTTGATATTAGTTAGTAAAGGTAACTCACTGGTAACTGTTCAGTTGTGGTTCACATTATCATGTGAAAGCAATCCCCACCACTACTTACTTACTACTAACTATCTCATTCCGGTAAACAACAAATAACAAACAAGACTCAATGCTCGGGTCAGTTCGGCGATAATAATTAGGAAATCAAGTAGTGTGGCATAGGTGTTCACATGTTTGCTTGTTTGTGATTGAGTTGGGCTGGTCATCCTGGGTTATAGCAGGGGTATATATGGATGAGATGGTAGACTGGATTGGTCGGGTTTGATAATTAGCCAAATATGGGAGTTGTACCGATTGGCAAGTGTACTTCTAGGTACCATGTAGGGGATTATGCACTGCTGATTGTTTGTTGGAGCTACGCTTTGTAGGGTGTAGAATGATTGTATTGATGGTACGGATTGGGTGGTGCATCAATTTCAATGCTGTAATTTCTCTTCTGTTGCAGTGGACGTAGAAGTGTATGGATAGTGGGTTGGAAGTACAAGAGATACCGAGCACATGAATGTAGTCGATTCTTTTATCTCAAAACATTTCAGGTGTGGAAGAACTACATGAGAAGCGTGTACTGGAAAACTACTAGAAGCTACTTCATAAAAACTACTAATTCATTATGGGTATTGCGAACCTGTTCATTGGTGCTACCTTTTAAACCGAAAACAATCTCATATCATACCTTCCCAGCGTGAAACCCCGGACCACTAACTTACGCCTCGTAGAGGGTGTTGAGGAAGTCCTTGGAAGCGCGCTCGGGCTTGGCAGACTCAACGGTCTGCTGGCCGAGCTTCTCCTTGGAGAAAGCAGCAGCGTAAGGGTTGAGACGGAGCATGACCTGCTTGTTGCGGAGAGGGTTCTTCTTCTGGATGTTGGTGCGCTTGGTGCGAGCCTCACCCTTGGGGGCGCGGAGGACGGACTGGATCTCAGAAGAGTTGATGAGACGGGCCAAGTCGGCGTTGGCAACAACGTTCTGGGGGAGGAGGTAGTCCTTCTTGAGGGCGGAGGCAGTGGTGGTGGTGCCGTAGACCTTGTCGAGGGCCTCGAAAGCAGCGGAGGACCAGACGATGAAGCGACCGAGGTGACCACCGGGGGCGAGCTGGAGGAGGTTGAGGGAGAAGACGGAGGAGGTCTCAACACCGGGGATGTTGCGGAAGGCACGGACAAGCTCCTTGCCATCAACCTCGGGGTTGTAGACAACCAGAGGACCGCGGCGCTGGCGGAAGCGGCGGTTCCTCAGCTTACCCTTACCGGCACGCATCTTGCGGGACTTCTGGACCTTGACGAGGTCGGCACCGGCACCGACAGCCTGGAGGAGGGCAACGGCGGCCTTGGTCTTGGTAACAGCGGAGTTCTCGAAGGTCTTGGAGTCAACGACCAGAGGGACCTCAGGAACGTTGGCAACGCGGTGACCGCGAGCGAACAGAAGAGAAGGAACGGAAGAAGCAGCGAGGGCAGAGGCAGTAGCGAAACGTCTAAAGAAAAGCCATTAGTTCCTCTCCTTCTGGTTCATTCGTGTACCTCATCGGTCGGATTCTCATCATACCTCTGGCCAACGTTGACCTTCTGGTGCCACTTGCGCCAGACCTTGGTAGGGGCGAACATACGACCGGAACGGCACTGGTTACCGAAAGCGGCCTGACCGGCACGGTGAGTACCACCACCGGAGACACGGGGGATACGAGCGACAGCGCGACCTGAAGTTATTCACATCCATCAGTCATCCCGATTCTCCTGCAAATTCTTGGCATTTTCTTCAAATTTGTGCACATACCGGTACCCCAGGACTCAGCAGAGGTCTGTTCACCAGCCTTCTCGCTCACAGCGTAGGGCTGTCTCTTGTTCTTGGCCATACCGGTGTGCACCTGCCTGTAAATCGAAATCCGTCAGCCATCGAATTTCCTCCGCTTTCTCATTCTTTCTCCCAGCGAGTCGAATTTTCGTCGTAAAAGGCTGAAACATACTGGACAACATCAAGACGGATGGGGGAGGCGAAAACAGCCGGGAGGGGGTAGGTAGCCCCCGTGGGCTTGCCATCAGCGCCGGCGATGGTGACGGTAGGACGAGACGCCATTTTTGTCGACGGTAGGGTGGTCGTTGTCGTCGTTCGAGGTTGGAGATCGAGCATCTCAAGATGAGCGCGCAAATTTTCGCTTAGTCTCACCCGCCCGTCGTGGGTGCGGCAAAGCCCTAGCCCTGTTGCCGCTTTGGGTGGCTGTTGATGCCTGAGGCGGAACTAATCTTATCGATATGGGGAACCGCGGTTATACCTTGACATGCTTGGATCTACCCTTCACACATGCAATTTCTCCTTGTCTCTTTGGAATCAATGTAGTCTCGCGGAGAATGTTGAGAGCGATACCAAAATACTACCAAGTACAAGATATAACATTATCTAGTAGGATAAAACTGAATATTTATCTTTTTTTCATTGATGTCGAGTCCAGCTATCCAAAGTCTTGTCTGTATAATTATCGCCACGGGAGAGATCATCCGACGCCCAGAACACCACCTGAGTCGTCACTACGACATGCAGTTACACTCAAGGAGTCTACAATTACGATTAATAAGAAAAAAGTGACTACTGTTTATAATGGTAATTATCGTTGGCCAACGTTAATTTCATTTAGGATCCTCTCTACTGCAAATGGTACAAGGTAAACAGGAAATCTCAAAAGGGTCCGAGCACTACGCCTTGTGCAAGGAAACGAATGTAAGTCGATCGGTATGGGCTAGCCACCCGGATCACATTTTTCAATCAATCCACATTTAAGCGTGCACATGTCCACCGTGAGCGTGGCGTCTGGCGCGGCCCTCCCTAACGGTACGGGGCTTCAACTTGATGGCGGAAATGGCCAAGTTGGAGCTCTGTCCAGCAGTGCACTGGGTACCGGCAGCCACATTCTGAACAGCGGTCCACTGGCCGCTGGCGCAGCGCTGGAAAGAGGAGCCATTGATGCAGTTCCACTCGCCCTCCACGCTGCAAGATCCAGAGAGCGCACCAGAGCTGGAGCTGGAGCTTGCACTGGAGCTAGAGCTGGGTTGAGGGCTGGAGACAGAGTTGGAGCCAGAACCGGAGCCAGAACCATAACCAGAGCTGGAGCCGCTGCTTCCAGAGCTGGGTGCAGGAGTGTTCGCAACCGCAGGAGCAGTGTAGGTGGCGGCCGGGGCAGAAGTAACAACAGCAGCGGCCGAAGAACTGGCGGAGCCAGAGCCGGAACCAGAGCTGGAGCCAGATCCAGAGTAGGAGCCAGTGCTGCTGTCACCAGCGGCAGCAAAAGTGGGAGTACCGGTACAGGCGGCGGCGCCAGCGGAAGCCAGGTTGCTGGGCTCGCCATTGTACTGGATGTCGTCACCAGGCTGCGGGAATCGGATGTCGACACCTTCGGAGGTGGTGCAACCGTTGACGTTGGCGACAAACATGGGAGGGAAGGTGGAAGAGCGCTTCTCGACATCGCGCTTTTCTTCAACATCGGACCGCTTAGAAGAAGCGCTCTGGACCTCAAGGGGCGCACAGTTCATGTACATCTCACGGTTTCCGATGCGGTTGAACCAAGTCCAGGCGAGCGTGTACTTGCCGGGGCTAATGCCGTCCGGAATGGTGTAGTTGAACTTGGTAGGGTCGGCCATGGAAGCACCACCGGAAAGGTTTCCATCCACGTTGGCGGGGCAGCCACCCTCGATAGACTTGATGACCATCCATTCGGAATCCTTGGTAGGCTGCAGATCGGTGGTCAGACTGACTTGGCAGGAGCCACCACCGTGAGTGGCGGAACCCTCAAAGGTCAAAGGCATGCTCTCCCCGATCTGGGCGGTATTCCACTCGCTGACCTCGTAGGTGTTGGAGCGCAGCTTGCAAGGAAAGTCGCTGCCATCGGCTGCCAAAGGCGAGTTGTTGAGGGTATCCTTTCCATAGGGAATGGGCTCAGTCATGATCATGTGTGCTTCAACGGCGGAGATGCCCAAAAGAGCAGCGGCCGTAAGGATCGACTTGGAAAACATGGTGAAAGAGCGTCGCTTTTGTTTTGCACTATTCGACAGCTAAAGGAGTGTTTGAAGTTCTGACCGTACCAGACGAGACAGAACAGGTGGTTGCGTTGAGCAAAAGTCTAGTGCAGATGGATTAGCTATGAAGGAGAGAAATGAAGGAAAAGGATGAAGTTCTGGGTTTATATTGAGATCATGCATGATTCGTTGGTAAGAGGTATATGGGCAAGAGACGGTGATACCCGTATAGTTGAAGCAGGATATGGCCAAGGATGTGTAGAGGGGCACAAGGTTATGGGAGACAATGAAAATGTACCCGGGCAAGTACCCGGATAAGGCGAGATGACAATACCTTTGTAGAACCGAATGGAAGGTGAGCTTGTCCCAACGATGACTTTGTCTAGTCGAAACAGGCCTTTGTCACGAACGTGTGATATCACAGGACAAGGATAGCTTCAGTTCTTGGGAAGTAGAAGGGAAGGTCGGAGTCTGCCGCAGGCACACAACGAAGATCTGAATGAAATCAAAAGGAGTGTCGAAAGAAAGCAGGACTAGCCTGGTGATAGTAAGACTGTCGAACAGTGTAGAACGAAGAAAGGACTGAACGCTCCAGCGTGGTTGAAGAAGAGAAAGAAGAAAGAGGATCAACACTGGCATCCCCGGGGGGTGTTATATACTTAAGATTTGGACTGTTTGAGAACGCCATGACGGTGAATCAGGGTACCCAGGAGACTGGACGGAATGAGACAGGCTGTAGTAGGCGCGCACCGAAAGTCAAGATGCGTGTGAGTGGGGAGGGGGTGAAGATTGACAGACGGACAGTGAATTGGGTTGGGTTGCATGTCGAGTCGTGGGACACATAGTTTTGGGAGTGCAGATGGACCCTGAGTGGTCCCTGGCGAAAGGGACTCCATAGTCGAAAAGATGAAACAAACCCGCAGCGGAACCTGGGACTTCGGCTAGCGACGCATGACTGTGTTTACTGAGTAGATACAAGAGACTCAGTATTACCCCTGCCAGCCCATCTGTCGCACCATCAGCCCGGCCCGTCGCTTCATTGGCTGGGCTCAAGGCGGTTGGCGCCGGCATTTGCCAATCAACGCCTGCAGGTCGCGGATTCGCTCTGATTGATCGGCTTCCAACTAAAAGTAAGTAAAAAGTATCATCCGCCAGCCTACTAGTTAGACAACGTTGTCCGACCGGTCATCTTGCCCTTTCCACTTCTTCCGATTATTCTTTCTGCTCGGCGAATGAACCTCCAAAGTTCGCCATTCGGCTTGGTCAACTGTGACCCGCTCACTGACCGAAGCTCCCCTTGCCCTTACATTGCAGCCTTTGCGGAAGATGAAGCCGACGTGGGGCGATGGACACAGCCTCGCAGCCACTGAGCAAAGATGTGCATTTCTATGACTCTTTCCAAAAGGCAGCAGCGAATTGTGAGTCCAGGCGAAACACACTCTCCTTTTTTTTTCGCCTCTACCAAGATCCCAACATTCCATACGTACGAAGGACACTGAAGAAGTTCGTTCTCCTGTCATCATTCCAGTCCCCATCAACTGGAGGCAGGCTCAACGAAACCCCATTGTAAGAGAAGGCGTGGGCGAGACCATTCCTGGGACACCTCATTCGACCACAGGAAAACTCAACTAAGCATACATCTCCATCTCCAAGATGATCCTTCAGCCCAATCCCAAGCTCCCCAGGCAATTCCTTCCACCGAGCCAGGAGCGCGTGTGCCGACTTGGCGCTTCGGTGGCGAACCAAATGCCCGTCCCTGTCTTACCGGTGAAAATCTTATTGCATCCCGCTGCCCCGTATAGAGCAAAGCATACTACACTACACCAACTCACGCCCTTTTTTTTCCGGTCCAGAAAAAGGAAACAAAATCCTCCGTATGCAAGTGGCAGGGAATGTTGGCAATCCTCAGCCGCCGACTTTCGACCCAACCAAGATACAAGTAAACATCCAACCTCCTGCACCATGGTTCAGATCATGATCCCCGCATGGACGGACCCTTTCGGCGCAAAAGTTTGGTCGGATCGGTGGGGTTCTTTTTCCCTCCCACCGTTTCTTTCTTTCACCAAGTCGGAGGGCGGCTGGCTCCGTGATTTAATTGCTACACGTTGATACCGTTTACTGGAATCTTTGTTGCTGGGATCATGGATCAAAGGAGGGCGTAAACGCGCTGCGAGTCAACAATTTCTTTGTGCGATAGCCGCCCACTGTATGCGCCATGTGGATTCGATACATCGTTGGTTACACATGACTACTAATAGTAGCAGATAGTATGCGCGATATATTTAGGTAAGAGTTGATCCTGAGAAACCTGCATAGATCAAGTCAGGCACACCAATCCATAAACCAATAAAAGGGATGGACTAGTAGATGCTGTCCTATGACGTCGTCTATCGTCTCCAGTACTTTTTCATTCCAACTCACTCAACTTCTATACCACCTCAAAAGAGACCTATCTACTCAGCACACAACCACAGCTACACTCATCTACACAATCACAAAAAACCATCAAGCATGTGATTCCAATACTTACTACTGATCACCTTCCAAACCCAGCAATAGTCAACCCCACAACAAACTTTTAATCACATCACAAAAACTTGGCAAATTAAACCCATCATCCCATCATCATCAAAACACGAACTGGACCCATCGAAAGGAAAATTTTCTACTACTAGACTTAATAGACCCTTAGATACTAAGTACAAAATACTAGCTCCGGAAGCCCCGAAACGATTTCGGCAGTTACGAGAATCATCGAGATTGAAATTGCGGGGGGTGGGTGTAGTAGGTCAGAGAAATCAATCTGAAACAGAGGAGGCGGCGGGAGATCGCGACTGTCAGCTAAGCGAAGGGGTTGATACTACGCCATAATCTCAATGAATATATGATGAGGTTTAATATTATTCAATCGTCTGAAAATTGAGTCAGAATTAATTATCCATTGATGGATGTGATAATATTGTTGCCTACATAGATAGTAATTGTCTTGTTTTGTTGGTGATGTTAAGATTGCAGTGGATTAGTTATGGGTTGATAAAATTATTTGTGATGATAATGAATACTACTCTACTATATTAGACTTTTGGGATGGGTGGGACAGTCAGTGTGTAACTACGATCGCAGTTATTTAACGTGCAGTAAAATATGTCTACTATTGTCTGACTATCTATATGTGATATAATAATAATATAGAAGAATGTTGGCGATTACTGAGTATAATCCCAAGCCTTTAGTTGCAAAACATTGTTGACTGGGGCCGGGCTGGTTCGGACCACAACCATCTGACAGTGGATACACAAGGGGATCATCATCGGTAATGAAGGGTGGATCGAACTCCTGGCTTAGTCTTTGGAACATTGTCTAGACCCTTCTTCCTCTTCTGCTTCGGCCTTGTGCAGAGTTGTGTTGGGGATGCTGGCTAATGATAGATTGCCTGGACCCTCATCTAAGCAAGCCTATCGTTGCCACTTTACAGGGCGGGTAGTATTATTGAGGGAAATATATCGCCGCATATTGGTGACTATGCATATTCTTTGGTAATAGATATCTTATTAATCTGAGGAATGGTCACAGGCTGATAGTTAAAGAAGAAAAATATTAGGAATGCCAAGCTCTGAGTATCTAGAGATATGGCATGAGATTTCCGAGATAAGTCCGTAGACAGGTTCAAATTCCGTTCACTCTATACAATGAGTCTCTATGCAATCTATAGGAAATATACTCATAACGTAGTATATACAATCATACTTGTCATCTTGGATCCTGCTAGTTATCTCCACCGGTTGGGATAGGGGGATCTGGGACACTCGTTTAGCCAACACGATCTCACTGGATGCCACAAGGGCCAGGACTTACTCGGATCCTCAGTAGTTCCATTATGGATTGCGGTCGTATCAACGCCCTGTAAAATATTAATAACCTTCTGGTATGAATAGATGAGTGGTTGGTTCTCCACTTACCAAGGTAATATACCCAAGGACTCCATTCCTATAATCCCGACCATCCAGTGGCTCCGTGTCCATGATAGCCATGGCCCCCGCTGTTAATCAGACCGCAGCATCAGCATCACAACAGGAAATTAAACTGAAACCCAGGTTGCATATATGCTTACTCAACGATTCCTCATAATACACCCCATCCTCTGACACTGGTTTCCGCTGGATCTGAGTGTGATGGGAATACGGAGGGACTGCCATGATCTCTGTAGCCACATCTTCGTTGACAAACAACTGGGCCGTATTGACTGTTCGGCCTGCACCGATGGTGCCATTGCTGGTTATACTCCAGTTTGTGTGCACTTGCACGTGGATATGAATGGCACGATTGGTCTGGAGATATGGTTGTCAGTGTCAGCCTGCTTGGGGTCCACTTTGTCATAGCTGAACCATGAGTGTGTGTGTGTGTGTGTGTGTGCATGCTCACATAAAACCCAGGGAATATCGAGGTGAAGCTGGTCACGCCTTTCTCATCGGTGGGCCACATGCCCCGAAGCCAGGTTGTATCGTCCGTTGCTAGAAACTTTTGTTGCCTTTTGCGTCAGAAACGTTCTCTGGCTGAGCATGATTGGCGGACTGAAAGCTGGGGATGGATAGAATTACCGAGACATCACTCATGCCGCTATCTGCTTCAATTTGCGTACCGGTGCTTTCAAAGTACTGCTCAGGAAATGAGATATCTGGATTCAGGCCAGTGAAGGAACTATATGATCCAGTGGCATTGCAGTGCTATACCGGGGTCAGAAAACTTTCATCTAGATACTCTTTTCATTTCTTCTGTGCGAAGAATGGCGTGGAAGAGGATAATCAAGAAAGATGTGGTGTGGGGATGAACGCACCCAAACATCCACCAATGCATCCGTCAAGGGCTCGCAGGTATGGATATCCATGAGGCCAATGTCCATGACGAAGGGTACCCCAATTTGATCCTCCACAATATCCTGGCGCAGAGTCTGACTCCGCGGATAAACATAGGGCCCTGTGCTAGTTTCCGGCGTGAGA